AAACGTGGTGGTGTGTAGCGTTCACTTCAGATCGGAGGATTATCATCCCGGCGATATGATGGAGTTCAACACAGGATGCCGAAGCAAGAATATTGATCGTCTTATACTGTACCAATGGCATCAAATAGTGTGATATAGGTAGTCATGCCCTAAATAGAGGCAATTTGTAATTGAAAAACACAATTACTCCGATTGTTTAAATATTCAAATCTTTAATTTTCTGTTTATGTTATAACCCAGGTGAAAAATATGTATTAAAAATGTACTTGAGTATGTTTTTAGTACAATACAAATATACTCAAGTATAGTTTTTATACATTTAATAGTATATACCCTAAACATACTCATGTCTGCTGGCCTGATATACGATGGTAATAATCTGTATAATATTGTGAGCACAGTGTATATCGTTAGCGAACGTGTATATAATCTATAAGCTAACACTGGTCTCTCTCACCAAGACACCTGCCCTGTTCTCCAGAAGTTCTCCTCACACCACAACTCAATTTGTCTCTGACCTTTCTGTCTAACATTAATCCTGGCCTGTCCCTACTCTCTTGGCAGCATAGCAGGCTCATAATTGTATGGCTGTGGTCCGTCATACGAGCAAGTATTTCCTCAGTGTCCGAAATGTCATTGCGATCCATTGTTTTCCTGTTGTCTGAATCGACCGCTCTCCCGCCCGTTACGTCACGCCCATTTTCAGATGCGGAAGTAAAACTTTCTCACAAAAACGACTCCAGAAGCTTCTTTAGCGTATTTATAAGTATATTTTAAAGAAAATCTAGTTCCTACATTATTTTTCTATACATTGACTCGTTGGGTCCTCTAACCTGCAATATGCCCTTTAAAGGCAGGGTAGGCAGTTTGTTTCTAAAACACTTTTTTCCCAAATTTGTTTAACCTGTCTTTATATACCAATACATATCTAGAATGTAAGTACTCTGAAAAGGAGAGTATAAAAATCGAGTGTCTGTAGTCCTCTCAGGGCTGCAATAAACACAGCTACTTATTCCATTCGGAACAAATGCAATGATTGGCTGGGCGACTGTCACTCTCCCTCGCTACCATGGCAACCACCCCTGCTGCTACAGGAGCTGCCCACATGCGCGCACCCGGTTGACTCGCTCATTTCGAAAGAGGAGAGGCATGTACCGGCTGGAAGCTAGGAAGTCTCACAATCATGGCAGAGAAAGAGCAGTCAAAATTCCCAGTACCACCCAGGGGCGGACTGGCCATCTGTGTGATCTGGAGAATCACAGAACGGCCGGTACTCCAGGACGGCCGGCGGGCCGGCCCACCAGCCGCCACACACATCCCAAGTCTCCCGCATATTGATAGTGGCTCCCTGATGTCCGCAAATTAGTTAAAATCTCCCGGAATCTAGAGCGAGCAAGAGCGCGCATGCGTAGCGCGTGCACGGCAGAGAGAGAGGGAGCGAGAGATTGCGTGTGTGTGCTAGTGTGCGCGTGTGTGCTAGTGTGCGCGTGTCCCTCACGAAGCGCATGTAAGGACCCAACCAATCAATTTTCAGTGTGGGCGGGCTTTTATCTCTACTACTCCCGAACCGAATTAATCAGAAATTACTTTCCAAGTTACTTGCTAGGGATGATGTTAGGAAGTGATATTCAGCTTGCTACATTTTTAATGATTACAGTAGTTAAAACAGCTAAACTTCAACATTTTAGCTGTAAAATGCCACATGCAGTTGCTAATATTAAGAAATATGTTGTGCTTTTACTTTTTAAAATGTTGGTAATGTTACAGTTAATGCTTACAAACTTTGAAGATTTTGAATACAGAAGTTACATTTGTAATGGTGTATTTTCATTTAGATGTGGTATTATTTGTGCAGTAGCTAAGATTAATTACTGCATAAACTAATTAAGATTATTAAGTAATAAATTCATTTTAAGACAGCATGGAATAGATTGTATAATATGCTGTTAGCTATAATTTGGATGGTATAGTATCATGAGCCACAGTTAAAGTGACACTCATGGCAGGCGTTATTGTTGTTGTTGTCGAGTTTCCGCGCACCGATTGCTTTGGGCCGGGCCTAGTCAAAGTCCAGGGCCGTTTTTTAGTCCCAGTCCGTCCCTGGTACCACCTGTACCTGCATATAGAGTCAGCGCAGACAAACAAGGCAAAAAAAGGTGACGTCACTCCATGCACTGCACTCCTTTCCGCTCGGCGCTGGTAAACGCCGCCTCCAGCTGAGCGGTCGGCATCACGTGTTCATGTGTTTTGGGGGCGTGGCTTTGGAAGGAGCCCAGAAGGGTGGGAGTTTCTCTGTTGGATACTTTCAAAATCCAGCAGTTTTCTGCTATTTTCTCAAACTTACCTACCCTGCCTTTAAGCCTGGCTAATGTTAATTCCAACATTTACTGATGTATTACACAATAATAGCATTATTTTTTAAATATTGTGCATTAATCAGATTAAGTTAAATAATTGTTTCTACCTTTGTCTTCAATAGGAAAGCCATCATCTGAAATTTAAGACGCCTATGACTGCTACAGGGAGACAGGAACGACAGCCAAACCACATGTGACCATACAGTGTGTGCAGAATTATTAGGCACGTTGATTTTCTGATCATTTTTACCAATTCCAAACCACATTAATCTTAATAACTACTATTAATTTTGTATTTAATCAAATATAAGTGATATATAATTGTTCATGAAGGCTGGAAATGAAAACGCCTTATATTCAGGTGTGCATAATTATTAGGCACGTTTTCTTTTATAGATAAAAATGGCAGAGAGCTCTGTAGTTTATCTCAAGTAATATCATACAAGGTTTTTTCAATGAATCCCAAATCTGTTATTTTTGGATTTTTTTGAAGCGGATCCAAATGCCTGATTTATAATAAACCTAATTTTCTTTCTATGTAGATTTTATATTCATAAATGTAAATGTTCGAATAGTTAACCTAACTTTTTTGTATTCTTACAAGAGATAAAACTTTACTTACTTAATTTCACTCTAGCTTAACAAAAAAGCCCAGAAAATGTACAATTTGCACGGCCTACAAACTCTATACTGTATTCAATATGTAACTTTTATTAAGTTATGTAATGCCCTGTTCTTTCCTTTCCTTTTTTTTAGTTAGTGTCTGTTTCTGCTTTGAGCTATGGTATTGGTTGCTCATATTTTATTTATTCTCTCTGTTGGTGTTATTCTTAATTATTGTTATGTTCTAATTTTGTTGTACCATAGTGTAAACTGAATGTTCAAATATAGCATAAAAAAAGATAGTTCTCCGATTGGCTACACAGGAGCGGGCTGCTCCCCCAACTCTTTTGCACTGCTGTTTACATCATATACATAGCCTCCGCCAGTTGCTGAGACGAGTGATATCTCAAAGACACCCTTTTCAGAAAAATGTGTGCTTTGGTGGGAATTATTTGACATACATAACTAAAGATAATTTTGGAAAAAGTAAACCAAGAGTCACTGGCCTGGTACTTGAAGACTAAGACATATTTAGGCAATTTTCATTGAACCATTGTGTGCAACGATCTCTTTCTCTCACATACAAGTACACACTCCAAGCAGGTGACACTGACACAGAGCCTTTGTTTCAGTATAAAAGGACGTCAAACAAAGCATCAGCATAGCAGGAGAGAGCAAGAGTATATTTCAGCTGAGAGAACCAGAATTACAGAACAGTCTTCAGGCAACTAGATAAACAGAAGCCCACTCAAAAGAACATTTAGATGTGCATTCATATGTACATTCAGACTTGGCCAAATAAATACATAAATAAGAATAAATTAACAATAAGTATAATTACATAAAAACAAAGTCAGAAAATACAGTCATTCCTAGCTCAAAATATTTTTAACCAGTTCCCAAACCAGTATACTTTGCTATAGTTGAAAATACCGGCCCTAATCATGCCCAGCACTTCACAGTCCCTTTGAGTTAGTGATGTGATACAATCCTGCAGTACTTTGTGTAAAGAGCATGTTAAAAGTGTAATTTCTATGGCTACATTGATGCCTTTGAGCACACACACTAACTGTCAAGCAGAAAAATAAAAAACATTCTAACGAGTAACGGAACATGACTAACCTATACGCTTTCAATTATAGTGGTTCAGAACTAAATCCAAAACTTTGATTTAAGAAGAGCCAACATCTATGCAGTGCTTTTAAAAGTGTTAAAGTATCTCACAGACTTGGATGTTTGTTTAGCACCCCTCCTCGTGAAAATTAAGTGCAAGTTTCACTCCTTGAATCCAACTTGTGTTCCATCCTCTCACTTCCACTCCTAATAATACTGTTTAGCATCAAACTGACAGTCCTGTTTGTGAGTATCGCAAAACAAGCAGGCCTAAGGGAGGCGTGTGACTACGTCGTTACACCGATGACACTTTTACCATAAAAGGAAGGACTAATTGGTGACACAACATGTCATCAATGGACCTCCTAAATTTTCGAATAGAAACAAAGGCTGACAGCTTGAGAAGCAGATAAACATCTTGTCAGAGTGGAGAAAGAACAGCTGTTACACATTTAATGTGCAGATTACAGTCAGTGGTAGTATAGACTTCATATTGTGGCGTGGATCTACTAAGAGGTTGGCGAAGGCCATTTTGCTGGCAGTCTAACCCCCTCATAAAACTGTACGAAAAGTACAAATCGATTGGCTCAGGTTCGTCCAAGTGCCTTGCCAACTTCAGCCTGGTTTTCAAGTGCAGCCTTTTAATGGCCAGTTCGGTCCCTCTGTCCGACATCTGGATCTTAAAAGGATTGGAGTACTGCAGCAGAGATATGCTAATGCATTAGCTCAGCCTCATCCAAATCCTTTAAATGACCCCCCTTCTTTATAACTGCTGATTCACTAACTAACTGGATGCAGCCGCTGCCATCTTGTTTTCAGCTGTAATGAGAACCAGGAAAGGGTAAAACAGAGAGATGGATAACTGGCAATGGGCTATGCATCTGAGGGGTTGTTTTGAATCGGAAACCTTCGGTTCTTAGTCTTTTAGTAGTGAGCCGCTTTGCTTTAAACTTATCCGCCCTTAATGAGGAATAGAACTAAATAAATAACGAACAGATTCAACACAAATCTAAAATAAATTCAAAATCTATTTGGAATTCAATGTAAATGATAAAATTGTATGTACAAATTGACAGAGAAATCTCAGTTTCCTTTTTTGTATCCTCTATGCAAATGTGACAAACAAAGAGACAGAGATACTCAAGAGAGGAGAACGGGAGGTCTCTTTCAATCCTTCCATCCATCACTCATTTTAAATACTGTTCCTGCTTCGTCCACATCAGTCCCTTTTTCTGAAGCTTATGACCATGGTACTTTACAAATGATGCACTAACCCTGCAAAGCAGACATTTCCCCAACCTAATGCTCTGACACAGAGACTAGCATGTTATAGAAAAAAAATATCTGTTTGGTTTGGTCTGAAGTCTTATTTTTCTTCTCAAAGAGAGGATTGTGGTGAATCTAGAGGTTACACAGCTTCAGTGTTTCTGCAGGGGTCAAAAAAGATCCACCCATTGAACTCAGTCAATCTGCCTTCTGTTTCCTATTTGGCCTAAACCTAACAACCCTGCAACTACATCTCTATTTCTACCCCTCTCTCAGTGCGAGTCAGCCTCTCTTGGGCTGTATCCATTGGCAGAGGGCAGGAGTGAGGTTTTCGGCTCAGAGTCAGTGCTGCTAACAGCCGCTTTGTGCCGCGAGGCTCTGGTGAAGAGGCGAAAGGCACCTCTGCAGATGAGGGAAAACCAGTAAACCTGCGGGGCCATGAGCAAAGCTGCACCTGCGTTATACTGCCAGGGCACGGACAGCGGCACCATGTAGAAGGGGATTGATGCGTACCTGTGATATGAGCACAAACAAACATGGATAGAGTAAGCTTACAGTGAATAACAGACACATTTGGTCTACATTGGACGCAACAAAGCGACCGTTGCAAATCCATTTGTTCTTTTTGTCAGAAGTAGCGTGAGTGCTTGAAGTACGTTAGAAATAGAACAAGGCATCCGTTTAATGTCGGGAACTTGTCGTGTTGCGCCACATCCAGCGTAGACAGCATCACTGATTATAATGGGTAGCATCTGCTTTTATCGCACAGAGCCTCTCACGTCTGGTGTAGACACAGTATAAGGAATTATTTGTATATTCAGTCAATTCAAAGTCCCTTTCAAGAAATGTTTGATAACTCTGTGTCGGCAGCCATATTTGCAATGTCTCCGGGCATCTACAGTGGTGCTTAAAAATGTGTGAACCCCTTGCAGAATCTGTGGAAATGTGATTAATTTTAACAAAATAAGTGGGATCAAACAAAATCCGTGTTATTTTTTATTTAGTACTGTCCTGAATAAGATACCTTACATATATGTTTACTTATAGTCCACAAGAATAGCTAGAATTTATAGAAAAAATAGCCGAACTTATAAAAAAAAAAAGTGTATGTACCCCTAAGTGTATGTTATTCTTAATAATTATTTATTTTATTTTATTTATTTATTGTTTATTTGAATAGGGACAGATAAAAAAAGAATATAGATTATTACATAAAGAACAATACGATGCCTGTATCACAGTGTTTATAGCCAAGGCTAATTCGCAACACACATACTGTGTGTCATTACCTGGATGATCCACGATTTTTTTGTTTTGTGATAGTTGCTCTTGAGTCCCTTGTTTGTCCTGAACAGTTAAGTTTTCCAGAACACTTTTGAACAGGATGATGTCGTCCAAATTTGTCTTATTTTGTTTAAATAAAAAAAGATACTTGCATGTTTCCCGGAAGACAAATTATGCCGAGTTCAGACTGCACGATTTTCAAAATAATCGGGTCACTGTTGTTTTCACACTGCATGACTATCTGGGGAAACATTCAGTTGCTGCTGTGTTCACACTGCACGATGGATCGGCGACAGGAGGTTTCACACTGCATGACTTTACAAAAGAAAGAATCGCCGACAACTTCTGCCTGGTCCGCAAACTACGTTTCACAACCAAACAAACGCGAGAAGTGATAGGAAATAACGGAAGATCACGTGTGCGTGAGACCGGAGTTCTCGCGCGACACTGAATTTGTTATTAAAAATGATAGCCTACAAATTGTCTGTGCACCACTGATTTGTAGCGAAAAAAAAAAAAAAAAAACAGTTTATGCAGGAAATGGTTGGGAAGACGAGGGGAGCAAGGACTGTGTTTTGCAAAGAGAGTTGGAGGTAAATAAATAATTTTGCAAATGACGTCCTGCTGTTGCTGCTGGTCACGCAAATGTTTGTGCTTTGTTTCTGTTTTATATAATTGTAAATATAGGCCTATTCTATTGGTCTAACTCCTCCCCGAACAGCCTGCTGTCCTGTATCTTGCTCTCTCATTGGCTGTCGGTCATCGCCGATGTAGTTTTCAGTCAGAAACACATTCACAGTCACACAGCAGGATTGTGAATCGCCGACAGGTCCAGATATTTAGCATGCCAAATATCTCACGGGCGTCGGCGACTCGTCTGCGATTCTCTCAGATCGCGTCTTTGCTCATTCACACTGCGTGATTGTCACTCGCGTGAACGAGCACCGATTTGCCTGTGATTTCGGGGATTCGTCGGCGATTTCTCAAAACCTGTCGGCGAGCCAAAATCGGGGCTAAAATCGTGCAGTCTGAACTCGGCATTAAGTGCACTTTTCCCCTTAAATTCAAAAAGTTTCCACCCCCTGGCTTTTAATGCATCGTGTTTCCTTCTGGAGCATTAGTGAATGTTTGAACCTTTTTTTAATAGTGGAGTCCCTCAATTGTCCTCAGTGTGAAAAGATGGATCTCAAAATCATACAGTCACTGCTGGAAAGGATTGAAATATGCAAAAAATGCCGGAAACCCAAAGAATTTGCAGGGCCTGGAGGATTTTTCTGAAGAACATTGGGCAGTTTAACTGCTCAGGACAAACAAGGGACTCAAGAACAACCATCAAGAAAAAAAAAGAAAAAAAAACGTCGTGGATCAACCAGGTAATGACAGTATTAAGATTCAAGGGTACATAAACTTTTGAACGGGGTCATTTTTATGAATTCAGACCATATGTACACATCTTTTATATAAAATGTCTTATTCAGGACAGTACTAAATAAAAAATATATTATTGAGTTAAATTTATTCACATTTTCACCGATTCTGCAAGGGGTTCACAAACTTTCAGCACTACTTTATTTCAGGCATGCGATGCAAGGCCAAATCTACTTGAATGGGGAAATACCGAAATCTGAAAAAGAAGTGCATATTTCAGGTTGGTCCAGCCATTCCGCATGTGCAGTCCCAAGCATGCATCTCAGGACTGTTCCAGTGATGCAATACCTACCAATTGGCAAATGGCTCTTTTATTCCAGAGGCGGGACTTATTGCGCATTGCACTTTGTCTCAATTTGTAGTAATATAAATGAATCAGCCTGGTATATACATTATTTACACTGTGTTTAGGATATTGCAAGTAACTAACATCAAACTATACAGAATCTGAACTTGATGTTTCATATGTTTTGATCAAAGATACTGGATGACTTGACGGAAATCTCAAAAACTACTTTTTTTTGACTTGTTTGATATGACAAAAATGCACTCTCAAATAACAATTTCTTACCAAGATATTTCCCATGCTTTGTTCAGTTATATTTCTAGGTTTTCCATGGAAGCCCTGCTGCAAGCAAATTCAACTTCTTAGCCGTTTGTTTGCCAGTAAAGACCGCACTCAGAAATGTAACTATTTCAAAAATGCTAAAGTTTCCAGTCTTATGAATTATACATCAGTGCTGCAATTTTAAAACTAGAACATGTCAACCAGATTGATGATGATTGTCCTGGTATTACGATCAATTCAAAACAACACATGGTCTTTGGTGGTTATTACAATCGTTTAGAAGGAATGTGTAAATGTCTCATGTTCTAAACAAATCCTGGGTTGAGACAGATTATGATGCATATTTATTTCTGACCAAAAAAAGACAACTTCCAGATTTCATGTTAATATTAGAGGCACTGTGACTCAGTGGAGAAAGAGAGGATAAAAGAAAGAATGAAGAGATGAGCAATAGAAATATAAGACCTATAAAGACTGAATGATTGAGTGTTAAAAAGTGATCATACCTGCCGTAGGCGTAGTAGAGGTAGGGGAAGAGAAGAACTCTGCAGATGAAGAAAGTGACCAGCATAAGAGCTCCATTGACTTTATGTAGGAGAGTGTGCTGTTGCTTGTACTGAGGCAAATAAACAAAGAAGAGCAGGAAATAGAGAAAGAGAGAGTGTTTAACAGATAGAAAAATATTAATAGGCAGAGCAATGAACCCTGACACCCGTGATTCAATATTCCCCACTAGACATTTAACTCTCAAGGAGTGAAGGAGACATGTACAAGAGAGTTATAAACAAGTCTGTGAAAGATCACTGCCATTCAATCAGATGTTATAAGATTAGTATGTCTGGTAGAAATTTCCCATACACTATAAAGAAAAAGAGAAATCTGAAAATCAGCTTGTCTAGGTCTTTAAAAAGAAAGACGTAAGAAAAGAAAGTCAGAAAGAGATGGTGAATGCGTGATTGTGTTTAGTACCTGGATGAGTATTTTTCCCAGACAGACAGATGGGGTGCTGAGTTCTGCCAGGAACATCACACCCTGGAAATAATCCCCTTTGCCCTGTCTCCAGAACTAGAAAGGGAGGAAAAGAAAAGAAAATAGGGAAAGGAAACAAAAGGAAAGGGAAGGATGAGAAAATGAAGGGGAAGGGGAAAAGGACAGGAGGAAAGGGAAGGGTGGGAATGAAAAGGAAGGGATAGGAAAAGAAAAGGAAATTAGGGAAGAAAAGAATGGAAGGGGAGGGGAGGAGGAAAGGGAAATGAGATGAGAGGAAAGGAAGGAATGGAGATCGTTACAGAAAAGGAAATAAAATTCAAAGGAAGGGAAGAAAGTGGGAAGGGGAAACGGAAAGAAAGGGAAACAAAAAGGAGAGGAACAGGAAGGGAGAGGAAAAGAAGGAAATTAGGGAAGAAAAGAAAAAAAGAATGGAAGGGAATGGGAAATGGAAGGGGAGGAGGAAAGGGAAATGAGATGAGAGGAAAGGAAGGAATAGAGATTATTACAGAAAAGGAAATAAAATTCAAAGAAGGGAAAGGGGAGGAAAACAGAAAAGCAAAGAAAAGAAAGTGGGAAGGCGAAACAGAAAGAAAGTGAAACAAAAAGGAGAGGAAAAGAAAAGTAGGGAAGGGAAAAGGAAGAGAAAGATAAAGGGAAGGGAAAGAAAATAATGGAAAAGAGAATGGGACGAGGATACAGAAATGGCAGGTAAAGGGAAAGGAGAGAAAGGGAATGAAGAGAAGGAAGAAAAAATAAATGAAAAGATGGGAAGTGGACAGAGAAGGGGATAAAAACCGAAAGAAAAGGAAGAGATAGTCAGACTTGTGTTGTGTCAGATGTAGAAAAGCTGTGGTTTTATCAGAGGGAAGTGCTGCAGAGGTTTCCCTGTCTTATCAGTCCATAACACTTATTGCCATTTAAGTGCAGCTAATGCCAGGGTACTCGCTGCTGCACTGCTGCCGACAGCAATAGTCTCCATGGATACAGATGGAGAGTGATGGAGAGCATAATCACAGGGTGAAAGTACACATGCCCATTCAGGACAAGTTAGACTCAGCCACACTTCAAGCCACCCACATAGCATGACCCCATCAAATCACTCTTCAAACAGCCATGAAGCCAAAGCTGTGTTACTACACTCCAAACATATGGCTCTGATGGGCCTCCATAATCATATTCAAAAAAATATGTACTTTAAATGTGTGTTTATGAAAAAACGTATGTTAATGTCACACAACCCTCATTCCACTCACCACAGAGACAGGGAAACAGACAGTAACCATGACGACATGGTGCAAGACCATAAGGAACTCTCTGCGCAGATAGCCGCTGATGGCTGACCTCATCGGTTTGGCCTCGCTATCCTCCTCGTGATCTTTGACCTGAAGTTTGTACCAGTGGCACAAGAACATGGCATAGATGTCATAGATGAAGTAGGGGACCGCAAAAAGGATATAGCTGCTGGTAAGCCAATGCCTGGACAGAGGGAGCAGAAAGGAAGAGATATGGGATGAAGGAACAAGAGTGAGAAACCCCCCATATTTGCTTTAGGGTTACTTTGTGGCAACCATCAGTTATATATATACATACATAAACATTAGGGGTGGCACGGTACATGAAAAAACATCCAAACCGCTCGGTTCGCTTGTCTCGGTTCGGAGCGTGTGTGCATCTCACGGTTTGATGCATGCGCAATGTAGCCTCGTGCCCGTATGTGACCTCAGACGCGCGTTTCCTTTTCGCACGAAATAAGATGTGTGTGGACATACATATGAGGCTTGTTCGCCTTGAACCGGCGCTGCACAGAGCGATCGGTGAATGACATCAAAGTACCGCCAGAGCGACGGCTCTGTATGCTTTTCAATCACTCTCGCGGTGCTTTGATGTCATTACCGATCGCTCTGTGCAGCGCCGGTTCAAGTCGAACAAGCCAGTAAAAGTGGAGTATGGAGTGTCAGGTCACGTCACGCGGAGAAATGGCAAGTGGGAGAGATAAGGAAGGCTAAAGCCTGGCTCACACTACAGGAGTTTTAGGCCGATTTATGCCCGATTTTCCCCTCCCGAGAATCGGAGAAAAAATCTTGTCGAGGACCTCGATCGGTTCCGATGTTCGGCACAGATTATCTGGTAATGTGAGGCATTCACAGATCGAATCTTGCACCTCCCGATCTGCTCTTACACAAATCGGGCTCGCCCCGATCATATCAAACATGTTTGATATTTATCGGGATGAGCAAGATTGTGATTACGTCAGTACTGTCACAATAGCCAATAAGTAGGGCTGTCATGGTGAAGGAATTTCCATTGAGGTAATTTTGAGTGACTCATCAGCGCGATGCGCGCATTATCTCCATTTATCCAGTTATTGCTAAATAAATAAGCACAATACAGTATAATAAATAATAATAAAATACTAAATGCATAATAAAGGCATCTGAAATAATAAACTAAGTAGCCTACAATCTAGTGTTGTCAAAAATATAGATTTTTCGATATCGATCCTGAACCATCTGCAACTCTTCCGTCTTCCGCAGGATGCACGCGATCTTCAGTAGGCTAGTGAACGCGCCAGAGAGAAATGCACATTTCATACGGATTACATAACCAGAGAGCAGTCTGTTGTCTGTTTTCTTTCGTTTTGAATTGTTCTGTTTAAAAGTAGACATGTCTGTGAGGCAAGTCTATCTTATACGCTGAGTTTCGGTTCATTTATGAAGTATCGCCGACGCCTCCGTTTCGTGATTATCTATCGTCTGCTATATTTACTTCTTATTTATAAAAATCCAGGCAATTGGTTGATGAAACATTGTTTAAAATTAAGATACAATTAATACAAAACGAAATTCGATTTAAAGAAAGGTTTTGTGCTTTCTGTTTGATGTCTTTGTGAAAGTTTTAAAGCATATTTTAAAGTCGCTTAGAGCGGTCATGTCCGTAACATTGTTTTTTCCTCAAATGCCAACACGAAAAATAAAATAATATGAATATTTTATGTTCTGTGGAGACTGAGAGCCCTTTCTTCATCCGGTGGGTAGTAGCTACTGTAGGCTATTACTTTGGTTTGCACAGTGTAATTCACAGAATTAGGCCTAGGCCTACACAAAAATATTTTCATTATAAAATATTTATATTCATTATAAAGTTATATTCATTCAAAGATAGGTTAAATGAAACAAGCTGTTAATTATTTTAATTTTAACTTTGAGCTCCACTTTACAATGCTCAGCTGAGCAGCAATGGGCATTGAGCAACGCTGCTGATGCTTTACCTTATAGAGATCTATGGCATTGATTCATTGTATTGAACAGAGCTGACGCCATTCATTAGAAATATCCTTATTAAAAGGATGATTTTTTTTTAAAGATTTCGCTTTCCTTGGTCATACGGCAACCTTTTCACGAATATGACTTGATATGAAGGACAGATATTTTGTTTACATCCACCTTTCCGCTTCCGATCTGTTGCGTGAGATCACGTGAGGCGCTTTCTCTGGCACGAATCTTAATAACATTGTGTAGTGTGTGATGCGCCACGATTTTCAAATCTTGTAGTGTGAGCATGTTTAAGATTTGAGGTAAGAAAATCTGCAAAGGTTCTCCTTAAGTGTGAGCTGCAACCAGATTTCAAAATCGGTTAGGATTTTAAAACTCCTGTAGTGTGAGCGAGGCTTAACCGGAGTTGGAGGATGCGCCAGCAACATAGAAGTCCGGTGTGTGGGAACATTTTGGATTTCATGTTATGATATTTAAATATATAGCTACAGTGGCACTTTAAGTTTTGATAAGAACTCCAGTCATATGTTTCCAAATACTGCACTTTAATTTCAAGTGAAAAAAATGTATCCTCACTCTCAGGGAATAGAAGCATTGTTGATATTGTTTTTTGTGTTGAGGAGGTTGAACTTATGTTTCACTTTATGATTATGGCCTTTGCTATTGCTATAGCCTAATTATAGGCAATTATGTTTCACATATTTTGACTTATTTAAAAGACAGAGTTTTAAGAGTTCCTCTCTTTTTCTTTTAAAAGATACATTTTTGTAAGAGCTACACTTAAAGGGTTAGTTCACCCAAAAATTTAAATTCTGTCAGTAATTACTCACCCTCATGTTGTTCCATCCCCGTAAGACTTTCGTTCATCTTCGGAACACAAATTCAGATATTTTTGATTAAATCTGAGAGCTGGCTCACTCCTCCATAGGCTTCTTAAGGGATCGAAGCTGGCCGGCCCAAAAGTTATCAAAGACATCGTTAAAATAGTCCAAGTGACTACAGTGGCTCAACCTTAAGTTTATCAAGCGACGAGAATACTTTTTGTGCGCAAAAAAACAAACAAAAATAACGACTTTATTCAACTAATCATTTCCTTCTCTGTACGGCCGTGATATTTCACGTAGTGTAACTGCGCAAAGCTTCTAGGTTGCATGTCACACGCAGGTTCACTATTGGCCGACGCTGGTCATGTGTGTGATGCGTGACGTACAACCTAGAAGCTTTGCGTAGATCGTCGATCCCTTAAGAAGCCTATGGAGGAGTGATCCAGCTCTCAGATTTAATCAAATATTTCAAATTCAAACATGTGCAGAATTCCATAACTTGTTCCCTGATATTTTTATGAACATGTCCATAGCAAGTAAGTTGGGCTTGAAAATCCAACACCGTACATAAAAAGAGCTCCGCTAAGATTCTGATAAATTTCTTCTTTTGTGTTGCATGTAAGAGAAACATTCATACAGGTTTAGAACAACAACATGAGACATTTTCATTTTGGGGTGAAGTGTTCCCTTTAAATTTGACTTGCAAATTAAGCATCAGTCAGATTGTAGAGGCAGTAAAACTATTTTCTGTCTTCCTAAGATAAATGGGGACACAAGAGTAAAAACAATTGTCCTGGGTTAAATTTTATGCAGAATTGTGAGGAATGGATAAATGTACTGTATGTCTAATTCTGTTTTTTTTTTATCTTTCTATTCATCAAAAAATCCACAAAAATACAGTAGTCAACATTTGAAGTGGATCAACGCTAAATATAACTTCTTAACACGATTATAAGGGCATACAGAGTAAGTGCTTTTTGCGTACGTGTGGTTTCAGTTGTTCCTATATTTTTTTCCGTAAATTTTATTACGAAATTTTTGGTGAATTTATTTATTTGTGATTTGTTCCTAAAATCGTCCGTACGCAGAGTTCATGCACAAACTTGTGCGTATACATGCTTAGTGAAGGAGACCCAATGACTGGCTGTCTAACTGGTGTCCACAGAATAATATAGCATGTTTCATAGAGAATTTGGACAATCCATAGACTTCCGGAGATCCTCCATGAAACTCGACACCGGTGTGGCGCACAGGTGTTTATTAGCACTCGCGCCACCAGCCTCGCTTCATGCCCATGGCTCTCGGCCCCGTTCTGCTTGCTTCCGCACGTAACAACCTAGAATACTGTCTAACACTTGATGGCTGAACTGTCAGGTCTTTGGTATCAAAAAGCACACCCAGGTTTCTAACTGATGACAATCTTTCATTTAAAAGTCACATTTCTAGTATCTGTAAAACCGCATTTGTCCATTTAAAAAAAATATATAAATAAAGGCATATGTTCTCAATGACAAATGCAGAAAAGTTAGTTTATAACTTCAAGGCTAGATTATTGTAATGCTCGATACTAGGTGGTTGCCCTGCACGCTTAATTAAACTCCAGCTGGTCCAAAATGCAGCAGCTCGAGTTCTTACTAGAATCAGGATGTATGACCATATTAGCCCGGTTCTGTCAACACTACACTACACTGGCTCCCTAATAAATAATCGCATACATTTTTAAATCTTGCTAATTACTTACAAAGCACTAAACAGTTTAGCTCAGGGGTGCCCAATCCTGCTCCTGCCGATCGACTGTCCTGCACAGTTCATCTCCAACCCTAATCAAACACACCTGCCTTTAATTTTCAAGTGATCCTAAAGACCTAATTGGTTGCTTCAGGTGTGTTTGATTAGGGTTGGAGATTAACTGTGCAGGACAGTTGATCGGCAGGACCAGGATTGGGCACCCTTGGTTTAGCTCCTCAGTACTTGAGCAAGCTCTTAAAGTCCATGTCTATTACGATCTCAAAATTCTGTCTAGTTGATAACGCCTAGAATATCAAAATCACCTGCAGGCGGTAGATCCTTTTCCTATTTAGCACCCGAACAGTTTTAACCTTGCATACACATGATGATCACATTTCTATAATTCACATCCATTAAAGGATTGTTACATCATAAAAAGAATGGCATCTACGCTAATATTAGTCTCTCTGTTTATCCCGAGGCTACCATAGAAAAGCCAAATCCGGTCCGTATCCAGATCAGATGGTGGACCTGCACCTAGACAAGACCACAACGCAGCCCTGAATGTCAGCAGAGTTCCTGTCAACTAGACAATCCCCTGTGAAGGCCTCTTTGACATGATAGCCATCAGCACAGATTAAGCAAAGACCACAAGAACCAGACAAGTCCTCTGCACAGACCCATGAGCAGCTTTGTCTCCATACTGGTGTAAGACTGTAAAACTGGTTGAAGAAACTGTCCTGACCACATGGTCTATTGAAACAAAGGAACTTGCTGAAAATTAGCATTCGACCTCCCCCTCACGCAGTCTCACCTGATTTACATTTCATTCTCTCACCCAGTAACAGCTAAAACTCACATAAGAATATATATATACACTACCGTTCAAAAGTTTGGGGTCAGTGAGAATTTTATTTTTTATTTTTTGGAGGAAAGAAATCAATACTTTTATTTATCAAGGACAGTAAAGACATTTATAATGTTACAAAAGATTCTATTTCAAACAAATGCTGTTCTTTTGAACTTCCTATTCATCAAAGAATCCCCCCCCCCCCCCCCCCCAAAAAAAACTGTACAACTGACAGACCAACAACTGTTTCAACATTGATAATAATAATAAATGTTTCTTGAGCATCAAATCCTCATATTATACTGATTTGTGAAGGATCATTTGACACTGAAGACACTGACACTGGTGATGCTGAAAATTCAGCTTTGATCACAGGAATAAATTACACTTTACTATATATTCACACAGAAAACAGCTGATTTACACTGGAATAATATTTAATACTATAACTGATTTTTGTTGTATTTTTAATCAAATAAGCGCAGCCATGGTTAGCAGAAGAGAATTCTTTTAAAAGTATTTAAAATCGTACCGACCCCAAACTTTTGAACGGTAGTGTATATGGTTTAATGTGAATGATTATTGTGTTTAGTATCATTTTAAATGTCCCAGAGTGAGTGTTTCAGATGTCTCATTCCAAAAGAGTAAAACAAAAGGTAATAAGGTTTTTTAGAAGTTTAGAGAAACTGGCACAAAGGAAGATAGGCAATGGACTTCCTCCTCTTCCCAAGAGGTGTAACCTCTGAATGCAAATTACCATTGTAAAGAAGTTCTGGCTATTTAATGGAATGCAGCAAGGAATCGTGGGTTTTTCTGTATCTCAGATCAGCCCGTGGATGCTGAGTCGCCGAGACTCAGCATTCATGTATTTCATAATGTCGGGTAAAATATTTTCCTCTTTGTTCTAGAACATTTGATGGTTTGCATTGATTATCTTTTAATTGATTATGAAATTGTTATAATACATTTACCTGACATAATAAATTGTTATATTTGATTATAGCAGACTTTGACTTTATTTTCATTGGAGTTAAAAGGAATAGTCAAACATTAACGTATATCTAATGATGCACAGATATCATTGAGAAACCTTTTTCATTTTATGGAGTCAGATGAAACGAGTTAATACATAAGATAAAATGTATTGTATTTAATTAAAAATCCCTTTGCCATGGGAAGAGACGGAACACGCGTGAGACCTTCACCTCTAATCGATACCGCCATTGGATCGAATTAGAAGGCCTTACACTGGAGTGATGAATGCAATCTTCAAACAAAAGGAATTTAATTAAATATTTGAATGCTACCGATCAACAATTTGATTTCTGACTGAATTATAAATCACACCGTATTCATTCGTAGCCAGAAGAGAACTGGCCCCACGACTGAGCCTGGGTTCTCCCAAGGTTTTTTTTCTCCATTCTGCCACCTGATGGAGTTTTCCGTTTCCTTTCTGTTTTCCATCAGGTGGCTCCATTTTTTCTCCATTCCTTGCCACTGTTGCCTCTAGCTTGCTAAGTTGGGGACACTTAATATTCAACAATATTATTGATTTGACAGCACTGACACTATAGGATGAGAAGTGAACTGAGCTGGACGTCGACATCACAGTTTTTCTGCAGAAATGCTTTTTAGATGAAATTAACTAATTTAATAATTGATGATCTTTCCAACGGAACTGAATCAACACTGAACTGACTTCTGATGAACAATGACACTATTTTCTTTTAGAACTGCTGTACGGCCGAAATGAACTGTTTGCATCATTGAATAATTTTTCTGTTATCACTGTAAAGCTGCTTTGAAACAAACTGTGTTGTATGAAATGCTATATAAATAACAGTGACTTGATTAAAAATGCAGCTGCCCATCACTGGAATAAATTACATCTTAAAATATATCAAAATAGAAAACAGTTCTTTTAAACTGTAATAATATTTCACAATATAGTCATAATATGTCCAGTAGATTTGAAGTGTGGATCCGTGCACACTCTAATGGCTAATATTGCCCACAAACCATTGCACTTTGGAGAAGGATTTGGTTCAGAGCTACAAACAGGAATAAAAAGTTTTTAAAAAACTACAAACATGGCAGATATGCGCAACCTACGGTTAAGTAGAGAGGTTTAGAAAAAGGGGTTTGAGTGACTGATAAATCAACATTTAACCTGATAAAAAAAAAAAAAAAACATTTATGTAATGTTATCTGTTTTATATTTCATCTTCAACAACAATGTGATCTTTTATAAAGATCCATTTGGCCATTCATTTTTAAAGCCATCATTATGCAAAAATATGAAGAGAGTTCTACCCATGAAAGAGCCACGTCTGGAAGATCAACGTGCTACTTCTTATCTCTCTGATACAGAAGGAAATGAAATGAAATGTGGAGGATGTTAACTGTGACAAGATGATTGACAGCGTAACTATGCGACAAAGCGTCCGTTAAAGATGCAATTTATGACATGATAGTATGTCTCAAACCAGGTCTACTATTCTGCTACACACTCAAAAGTATGTACTTTTTCTCCACAAAAAGAGAACATACTTTTAGGGTGTAGTATAAGTAATTGGGACACAGCATTAGTCTAATTCCCAGGCTTCCTGTTCCCTTGATGTTGCATTTACAACACATACCCCTAGTAATTGAGTTTACCTGGCTTAAATCATTTATGAAACATGATTGCTCTGACCCCATTTGAGCTGCCATTCTTAATTAACTTGTGGGCCTTCGGGTTAAGGCACAAAATAAACAGAAAAATAGTTCAAAATAAGTTAAATTCGATTAGGTGAGGTAAATCAAATTAGAGCAAACCGTTTTCGACAAACCATCAGCGTGAACACATCGAATGGGTTTCACAGAGTGTTAAGATGCCGCTTTAAATCATCAACTGAAACCGCTGACTAAAGCCGTCATAAAAATTCACTATCAAGTTTTTCCAGAGTCTTTTGCCCATCTACTCTCTCTTGCTCCCTTCCCCCTGGCTTGGTGTGCCACAATGGATTTACAGATAGAAACTAATTAGGTTAAGAGCCTAATTAGATTATCCTGACATAAGGTGTGCATTGGAGGAATAGCACATTCTTAGAAACACTCAGAGTGAAGGGAATACTTTTGCACTCCTACACGTCTGGGAACAATTCCATAGAAATGAGAGAATTCTCAGCTGTATTCACAAATAAAACACAAATGAAATAAGACGAGAGAGACACATGCACATGGGAAAACAAACAAACACCAAAGTAAAGCAGTGTTGTGCATAGTAAAACAGTCCTCCTGCTTATAAAATCAACCGGAATTACCAAAAAAAATATTTCCTCTTTTATATATCAAGCTACAATGCACATCTTCAGCTGATACTCACTGGTCCTCGATGATGTCTTTACAAGAACAGGCGATGATGTATCCGGCAGAGGACGCCATAATGGCTTGAACGGAGGACACCAGCCTGAGAAAGAGTGAAAAAAAAATGAAAAAAAGTCACATGCATGAAAGAAAGCCAAAGCAGAGAGCAAAACTGACTGCAAACATCCTTAGATCAGACATATTGGAAACCATTAATAGCAGATTCTGATGACACCAGTTAAGGAAAGGGTCATTTAAGCAGGATATTACGCAGTAACTTTCCTAGCTAAGCAGAAAAGCTCATCAATGCATCAGACAGTGCACTGCAACCAAACATAATGCAACATGCTTACATGCAACTCTTTACTCTGCAGATCTTAATCTGACACATTTCTTGCAAACAGGTTAATGATCTCTGCCATAAACTTACAGCAACACATTTTGTGATAGACCAGCAAAACATACCAATATTTGGTTCATATAAAATTATCTACCCCTCAGTTTCAGCCAACCATTTTCGGTTTTCAAATATTTTTTGTAGGGGTGCACGATTCAGAAAATGTCACGATTCGATTCGATACCGATTTTTTGTCTCAAGATTCGATTCAAAATCGATTTTCGATTCAAAAACGATTCTCGATTCAAAAAACGATTCGCAGTATATAAATATACTTTACTTTTTCCTATGTGATTGATTGCAGTAGACACAATTTAAAAGAAAAACAAAAACAAATTAAATGTAGTTTGATATTACTTTATGTCTTCATACAAAAATAAAAACTTTTGCAACTAAAAAGTGCACAGTGCCAAGCTTTGGCCAGCTTTCAAATACATTTAATTCAAGTTTAAAATAAAACTTAAATAAAAAGCTTTTACATTTAGCTTTAAAGTGCTGTAGTCAGATCAAACAAACAATTAGGCTAAATGTGGTTTAATAAGCACTACTTCAGCTACCAGGCTGACTGTTGAAATGTGAACTCGACTGGGCACATTGAACTTCCTAAAAATATACTAATGTCATAGAACCCTTGCGAAATAATTTTAAATAGATTTTAAAAAGCCACCACTACTGGTAACATCTATGGTTAGATTGATTTGTTTAGATCCAGTGAAGTCGTTCATAGGCGTAATTTGCGGGTATCTCCAGTTAACTAGCAGATCATTCATTTAGTTCGCTATTAAATAAGAGATCTGTTGTTTTTGAACGCTCGTTGCCGCTGCTATCAGTGTCATGGATACAGTGTTCTCTGTGGCTCGCGCAGTCTTCACTCGGACGCGCGCTTCATATCGCCGTTGTGATTCCGGTGAAATCTCAAAATAAAATGCACACAAACGTGATGAACATATTCGGTTTTGATGAGAGAGAGAAAAAACTATACGAGTGCGGTTTAGAACCGGTAACCTCTGACACGCTTGGCAAAAGATCTACAGACCATTAAGAACTCAAACATAATCTGCGGATCGATGCATTTATTTACGGGTTGAGCAGAGAGCCTGCACAGTTTGACCAGCGGGCGGCAAGAACTTGCAATGTAACTATTTATCAGACCGGCCCTCGCAGCCTCGAAACACTACCGAACCACCGGTAAAAGTCCCGACTCACCCAATTGCCACTCCGCCCGTGCACGCCATAAAATTTTTTAAAAAATGAATCGATTTTTGGAATTCTATGAATCGATTCTGAATCGGTAAAGATTGAATCGCGATTCAAATGTGAACCGATTTTTTTGCACACCCCTAATTTTTTGTGACTTTTACAAATATTTCAGTTTATCTCAGCAAGTGTACTGTGGCAAGCGCGAAGCAGGTGGCGTGATTAATATTGAACGACACCTGTGAGACGCACCGGTCTCGTATCTCTCGCGTCCCTCGACCTCGTCCTGCTCGCCACATGTACATTTTATTCATACGGTTTTATACACACACTCACCAGCCCCTTTATTAGGTATACCTTGCAAGTACCAGGATGGACTGCCTTTTGCCTTCATAAGTGAATTACTTCTTTGTGGCAGGAATTCAACAAGGTGTTGGAAACATCCCTTAGAGATTTTGGTCCATTTAAACATGATAGCATCACGCAGTTGCTGCTGATTCGTCGGCTGCACATCCATGATGTGAATCTCTAATTCCACTACATCCCAAAAGTGCTCTATTGGATTGAGATCTGGTGACTGTTGAGGGCATTTACATAAAACAAACCCACACACAATGTGCGTAGATCTCAGACTGACATAACATGTTGCTTGGCTAAAGATATAGACTTCACGGATCCGATAGCATTGTGATAATAATCCAACGTCATTTGAAAGTTCAACAAATGGAACTTAAGGCTGTGTCTGAAACCGTCCCCTTTACCCTTAAATAGGGCACTATTCGAGGGGACAGCCATTTGTAGTGGTGTCTGAAACCATACTGGATATTATCAAATGTACTCATTTAATCCCATAATACACCGCAATAACGAGAGTACAACTGATGTACACTCACTCCGTTTTCATTCACTCCTTCAAGGGAACTATACAAGTGGACAAATCTAGGGAATAGTCAATGAGGGTACAGGGGGTGATTTTGAGCACAGCTTAAATCTCTGGTGTGGTGGGTGGGTATAGTGTGTAGATGTGTAGAGAACAATCAGACACCGTTTTAAAGCTGGAGTGTGCTTAGATTGGTTTGATCGCTCAGATTGACATGTCTTGCTTTACCATGCGCCATAGAATAGGAGCGCACAGCTGAAACAATGCTGTTTCATCACTCATCAACCAGGATCTTATTACTTGTTTATTCTATGTAATGTTGCAGCAGAAATTGAGACTCATCAGACAAGGCAACATTTTTCCAATCTTCTGTTGTTCATTTTTGGCGAGCCTGTGTGAATTGCAGCTTCAGTTTCCTGTTCTTAGCTGACAGGAGTGGCACCGGTGTGATGATCTGCTGCTGTAGCCCTTTTGCTTCAAGGTTTGACGGTTGTGCATTAAGAGATGCTCTTCTGTAGACCTAGGTTGTAACAAGTGGTTATTTGAGTTATTGTTGCCTTTCTATCAGCTCGAACCAGTCAGGCAATTCTCCTCTGTCATCAACAAGGCATTTTCACCCACAGAACATGCCGCTCACTGGAAATTTTCTCTTTTTCAGACTGTTCTCCTCTGTAGATCCTAGAGATGGTTGTGTCAAAATCCCAGTAGATTAGCAGTTTCTGAAATACTCAGACCAGCCAGAACCAACAACCATGCCACGTTCAAAATCCCTTAAATCACCGTTCTTCCCCATTCTGTTGCTCAGTTTGTACTTCAGCAGATCGTCTTCTTGACCATGACTACATAGCTAAATGCATTGAGTTGCTGCCATGTGATAAGGCTGATTTGATATTTCCATTAACAAGAAGTTGAACAGGTGTACCTAATAAAGTGGCCGGTAAGTGTATATAAATCTCGTTCACTAGTCACATTAACTGATGCAGATATTTATCCTTTATCAATTTACATTTTTTTTACTGAATCTTAAATCACACAAAAAAAATACAATTATGAAGCCAATGCCATGACTTTAATGCTTATAAACAAAAAGAGGATATAATATGTTCTTTACTGGCATTCTGAGAAGAACCACAAGTAAATAAAAGCAAGTAGTTTGAGCCTGACAGGACGTCTCAACACATCTCATTTTCTCTTCTTTTTACCTGGACGAGACAATGACAGCATCCTTCTCGCTCCATTTGAGCCCAGGACCATGTTTCAGGATTCGCTTAGACAGCAGGAAAAGGCCGGGGAAGAATATGGAGCCAGCTGCAAGGATGCTCAGCATAATCTCGGGAAATGTTGCTCGACGTCACTGTCTGTAAAAATAAAGGATAAAAATATTTAGATTTACACATGTTTTAGGGTTAGAGCATCTTAAAATATCCATATTTATTTATATAATAGGAATGTATACAAGAACAACCTTGAAACTCGTGAAAAATCAAACATGATTTTTTTTATGTCTGTTTAGTTAGTGACAAACATTTTGCTTCATCATTTCGAAGATTAGTATACGAGTTCAAACTCAGCATTATTACTTGATTCTCACCAAAAATCTGTTCACTGAAAGAAAGGAATGAAAAGGGCAAGGCAAAGACAGAAGGATGAATCAAATGGGGAGAGTAAAGGAAAATTACTAGACCACAAAAATCCACGTTAGAAGTCAAAACAACAAAACACAAATACCTTCGTAAATCCAACATACATAAAATGTACTGTGCCAATTACACAAACATTAACTTTAACTACCACTAAACTCAACAGTCAAGTCCAGACTACAAAAGTTACACATTGCAATGGCACGACACGGATAGATTCCCCAGATATCGTCAGGAGAATTCCAATGCAACTGCATCCCTTCACTAGTCTCATTATTGCATTGTAAGGAGTCCTTAAATTATTCCGGAATATATATATATTAAAGCAGGAGAAGCTGGGATGGTGGGGGTGTCCGTACTAAAATAGGCGTGGAAAGGATTAGCAGGCCAGAGATTTAGAAAGATTACTGCAGGGAGAGGGAGGGGAACGAGACGAGGGGAGGCCAAGAAGAAAGAAAAAGGGTATGTGGGAGGGTGGAGGTCGTAATTCTGTGGTACAGTGAGGGAAACCTTGTGGGAGGAGGTGAAAGGGAGTGTATTATTCCTGTTATTGCTACATTGGGACTGTGGGTGCATGTCTGCAGCAAGCAAATCACAAAAGCTAAAAAGACGTCACAGAAATCAAAATCTATAGCAGCCAAATCAAGAAATGCGTTACAGACATGACAGCGAATGTGCATTAGTTCATTATTCTAAAGCTTGTACTAACAAATCTGTTCATGCAACACGCAAATAATTAAAGAGAGTGAACAGTACGCACAAATCCAATTATGAAAACGCATAACCCCGCAACATATGATGCTTTTGCAATTCGAGAACAACTCTAAATCTCCCACAAACTATATTATAAAACCCTCCGCCGTTCCCAACAGAATCTTAGGTAATGCTCTGATTTTCTCCATTCATGTAAACAACAGCAAAGCAACGCGAGCAGCTCGCATATTCACAACGCTACCTTTCAGAGCTAGCAGGCTAGCGGCATCCATCCTATTGTGTCATCGCCAGCAGGACACGAGGCAGGGGGAGTCTCGTCGAGACCTCTAGCTAACAGGTTGTAGGCGACAGGCCCACTGGCTGTGTGTGTGCTTACAGCAGCCAGTAATGAATCACTTTCCTCCCCACATGGTTGATGAAAATAAAAAAAAAGATTGCTAAAACGGGGATGAGCCCCCAGAGCCGATGTGATTATTGTACAATAGTGTTCAATCAGTACCATGCAACTCTTTTGCTGTAACCCATTCAGACCCAGACACTAAAAAAAAAACACCAGCATGTCTTATTTTTACACTAAATGAGCCATACATTACAATCAATTACAAGATTGTTTATGACTTAAAAAATTATATTTTATAAATATATTTACATTTTTTAAATAATATTATCTACTACTGAAAATCCATTGTAGATTAAAGATTTTTTATATATGTATATATATATATACATATATAAATACTTTATTTTAGTGTTTTGTTAAAGGTTATATGTAATTACTATAGTAATAACACAGTAAATTATTAACTACTAAATAAAACAAATTAATGTATTCATTTTGAATTTCATTGTTGGAAGAATACTGTTTCAAAATATAACAACACATAACAGCTTAAACAAAGAAGCAAGTCATATAATGTTATTGGTGGAACAAATATGTCCCCTATGAATGGCCATATTCCTCTGCGGGGCTCAAACCTGCAACCTTTCAATGACCAGCTCCGGTATTTTCTTATATTGCTATGCCACATCACCCACAGCTTTGTCAAATCACCTTAAAGACACCAAGTTGACATGTCATTACATGAGCATTGGTCAGATATCTATTGCTGTTGCAGGCATATGGTCAGAGCAAATTATTAATTCTACAACTTTGGTTAGGCGTGGTCTTTTTGGTGAAGATAGTACAAAATGTGTAGGAATTATTATTACTGAAACCATATCAAGCAGTATTATGCATAAAACCAACAGAGAAAAGTGATACAAGTTAGAATGTACATGGAGTCTAAATGAGTTACAACATTCATAAATGATGCTGTAGAAAAGCAGCAGGAGAACAGAATCACATTGGACAAGAGCAAGAGAAGCAAGCCAAAAAAAAGGCAGAAGATTACTTTAAGGTTGAGCAGCGTCGGTTATGGGGCAGGACAATCCTGTCACAGTCTTGCAGAAACCGGATCACGAGGTCCATGAGGCATCTGTGAGACGGTCGACATGATGTTGTTGAATGTAGCTCTTGATTGCAGAAAGTTTCAGTTTTGGTTTAACAGCACCTGCTGGGAAAATACACATAACAACAATGAGAAAGACAAAATAATAGTGTTTAAGGACGAACGGAATTAATGCAAAGTTTGTCTGAGCTGTCTGCCCTCAATCATCCACCTGTCCAGGAGGAGAGTGCATCCCTGCATATAAGAGAGCTGATCCGCGTCCATCTCATCTTCACAAAGCTTTTAACTCAAGCAGAGTCAGCAGATCAAAAGCTGCAGTGGTCAGACATGACTAGGGTTGCCAACTTTCTAAAATGGAAATAAGGAACGGGTGGGGGTGGGGGTGGGGGGGGTGACTTCTGGTGAATATTGTATGCTATAATACATTAACGTTATAGCATATTATAATACAACTTATTAGGCCTATATATTTATAGAATAGCAAAGTAGTCCTAATCAATAATATACAAGACTGAACCACATAGATAAAGGCTATCATGATCATTTTGCCAACAATGAACCATGGATTTGTTTAGTTTATAATACATTTTATTTTTAACTTAAACAAATATAACATAGCCTATAACATTCAAAACTCATCGGCTTAGACTGCATTTGAAGAAAAATCAACACAACAGTTTTCTGTAGCCTTGTGCGAACTTATTCAATAGAATTAGACTTCTAGAATGTTCTTTCCAGTGCAAAAAATAATCTTTTTAATATTCCTACCTTTAATACCTCGCGCATTCCAGCCACGGGTAGTCATTTTCCCATTCAACTCTATATTTTTGTGCTCTTTTCTTTTTCGCCGGCTGCTCGGAGGTAGTCATTTTTACATTTCCCGCTGTTGTCACTTGTCGTCATCGTTGCGACGATACGTGACTCACTATGACTAACGACCATTCTCTGATGATGTTCCAAGATGTTGAAAACGCTACGCGGCTGATCATAGACAAACAGGGGGAGAAATTAGTATCTACCGCACCGTGGCGCACCGTCGGGTTTTTTTTTTTCTTATCATAGAAAAACATATATTGACATATATTAGAAGCTACAGTATGTACCTGTCATGAATTTGCACTGAATTGATTCTCAAAAATACGGAACAAAGTGCGTTCCGTATCAGTTCAATACGGAACAAGACTTTTATGTGTCAAATACGGGACGATTCCGTATTATACGGAACGGTTGGCAACCCTATGACCACACTCAAACATTACCCTTGCAAATGATTAATTTAAATGAAAATGTAGGCTATCCGTGGCAGAGAGCGGATACCTGCGCCAGATTGATGAGAGAGAAGCAGGTCTCCAGGCAACCACTTTGGTCCCCGGTTCTGGCTCTCTGACCACCTCACTTGGATTAGACAAAACAAGTGGGCACCGGGGAAGGCAGGGAGGGTGGAATGGCTCATATTTGACTACAAAACATGTGCAAATCCTGAACCAAATGCCGAAGGTTATCTAAATAATGGCGTTATTCTAATTCCCCTGTATGCAAAGTAGAGAAAGAGTCACGCTAGCTTTCATGCTAGCGCTGGGCTAACATGACTCAGACTAGCCTCGCCGAGTGGATAATTACATCCCTGGTCTCCGTTGTCTTTTTACACAACCTTTAACTAATTTCACCGGAGAAGTCAGTAAATATTAGGTTTAACTTACTGTGGATCGCTCTCGGTTCAGAAATCACGTTTCTTCGACTGGCCCCAGTCCTAAATGTGTTGACAAGAGATTAATTTTACTTTTAAATCTCCACCGCGACTCTTAGTAAGCAACCGCTGATTGGCTAAACGAGACGAACGCGACAGATTTTCCCTTCATTTATTGGTTTAAGGTTTGATTGACAGAAAATCTGGCCAATATGGAGCCAGATCAGACTCATTAATAATTCACGCAAAAAATATGATCCACACATGCGTAGACAATTTCACATGCGTGAAACCTAATTCACGTACACACAAAAACAATTCACGTGCGTGAAAAAAAAACATATTCACAAAAAGCAATTCACATGCGCAAAATAAAATTATATATTCATAAAATACATTTCACAAATGCAAAACACAATTCGTAGATATACAACTGTGCACAAAAACCTTTGAATCTTTAAAATGTACGAGTGTGTCCTTGAATTTGAATGTGCAAATCGTCATTCACGTACGAATCGCCTTGGATGTGTGTGTGTGTATTTTTGAGACTTTCCTGGCAGCCATTACTCGTAAAACAGAGCAGTCGTACTCTTCAGCCAATCAGATTTAAGCTCATCAATCGACCAATCAGTATCACGTGAGGGCGGGCCTACCTGCATGTTTGTCATCAGCTTTCGACCAGTTCATGGCTGAGCAGAGGTAAGTGCAGTTAATCGTTCATTTCTGTGTTAACTGAAGTTAGAGATCAGGTGAAGCAATAGTTTATGAACTATTAACTGATGTAAGCAAGTGTTGTTGTAATCAGATGTCCCATATCGTGTCAAAAATAAAGAAGGATGATGCTTGTTTTGTTGTATTTTAGACAGCTCTCAGCTACAATCATCACGCTAATGATTGCAAAACAATCATCTGTGGTCAATACCCACCCTAGCTCTCTCAGCACTGGCCTCATCAAGATTGTTCTGATAATGGTGAATAGACCTATTTAATGAGCACCCAGTGTTTATTTGCTATTTGTGTATGTTGTTAAATTATTATTAACACTTGTTTCCCTGCATTTTTTCAGGATTACTCACCTTTGGTGTGACATCTGGATAGCAGTCACAAACATCTTAATTCATGTTGTTTCTTTATTCTCTTTTATACTTTTGTTTTTATGTCTTAATTGGTAACACTTTACTATAACGTTTCATTAGTTAACATGAACTAATAATGAACTGCACGTAAACAGCCTTTAATTATTTTTTGTTAATGTTAATTTCAGCATTTACTAATACTTAATTAAAATATTGTTAACATTAGTTAATGCACTGTAAAGTAACAATAAACAGCTATATTTTTAACTAACGTTAACAAAGATTATCAAACACCGCAACAAATGTATTGCTCATGGTTAGTTAATATACATTAAGTAATGTTATTGTACCATATTGTAGTGTTACCAATATTCAACATGCATTTCCTTATGTTTTGTGCTGTATTGTCATCTTAAGGCAGGGGTCTCAAACTCAACTTAACTGGGGGCCGCTGGAGGTAGAGTCTGGGTCAGGCTGGGCCGCATCAAGTATTCCACAAAAAAATAGTATTCAAGTATTCCAAAAAAGGAGCACAACTGATCCAGTCTTCTCAATATTTATTATTAACGTTTCTTCTGAACTGTTCCTCTGAATTTGAACATTCCTTTCTGTACATGATTGGTTCTTTATGAGCTGTCCTTCTGACAGTTGAAGTTCATTTTTACAAACTTTCTTTGTCTATAACACATATTTGTGATATTTATATTTGCTTATGTCCTTTTTATTTTCTATATACAACACATTAATGATATTGAATGTTTTTTTTGTTTTTTTTTGGAAGGCACATTTCCTTTTATTATACTTAGAAAAACAATTATTGCTTTTGAAATACAAATATTTGCAGTCATGTCTGCCTGTCTTATTGAATTCTTTCTACACATGTATAGTGTCTCAAATTACTGACTGCACAAATCAAAGCAAACCTTCTTATGAACCTGTTGGACACATATTACAAGCTCAAAATGATTATTCTCACATTGTTTTAGAGCAGGGTCTCTCTCCAACACGTCGCTTGCGAGCTATCAGTAGCTCGTGGCCTGATTGGTGGCAGCTCGACAAGGGGCCGTTCACATATCGCGCTCACATATTTTGCGCGCTCAAGTTCGTTATTTCAAATGTAGGCGCGCGGCAAGCGCGCTCATAATTTAAGCGACGCGCTCATTTTTTCCAGGCGCAGTATGTTTGTACTTCGCGGTTGTCTATGACAACTATTGACAACAAACCCACCATGCCACGAGACTATCTATGGTAGCCCATAAGGGATAAAAAAATATATATATATTTTTTTTTAAACGCGGCACACGCAACGACGGGCCGCACTAACATGAAACTTTAATGTCAAGTAGGGGGCCACAAAATATCACCCTGCGGGCCGCAAATGGCCCGCGGGCCGCGAGTTTGAGACCACTGCTTTAAAAGCAAAGTAGACTCTGACTGGATCTCACAACTCTGGAAGAGATGTATATTTCTCTGTACTGAATGTTCATGATCTTCATATGTAACAGGAACATTAATCATGATCAAGTCATTTTATATATATTTTATTCCCAAAGGATTTCGGAAAACGTTAAAATTAATAAAACGTGTACATCAAATTGAACTATGTCTTTGAATCTTTTAATTCTGACAAGAACATTTAATAATGCATGCATAGCAAGGCTGTATTCCTAGAGCGTGTACATATAGTCTGCAGGAGACAAATGAATACAGTAACAATGCATCACTTTCAACCTCTTGTTGAAACAACTGTCAAAATGGTTGGCTTGCAACAGGACTGTTTTCAAAGATTTACAGTAGGAATGGTAAGATCACAGTACTGGTTGTCTGCAACTTCATACATCATCTGTCTCGGAAATCTGAAACAATAAAACTACATAATATATGATGCTTAAAACAAAACATGTCTCCTATATATGCACGTCATTACATACATTATCATCAGTTGAATGTGTGGTGGACAGGACATGAAAATCCATCAATACTAAAAATAAATGTTTATGTTCACATGTGGACTAAACAGCAGTTAATAAACTATTGCATCAACTGATCTCAAGCTTCTTTAACTTCAGTTAACACAGAAATGAACGAGTAACTGCACTTACCTCTGCTCAGCCATGAACTAGTTACTAGTCGAAAGCTGATGACGTAACATGCGGATAGGCCCGCCCTCACGTGATACTGATTGGTCGATTGATGAGCTTAAATCTGATTGGCTGAAGAGTACGACTGCTCTGTTTTATGAGTAAGCGCTGCCAGGAAAGTCTCAAAAATACACACACACACATCCAAGGCGATTCG